TTTTTAAAAGTTAAGATTGATACTGATAATATTAATTTCTTTATATATATAATAAATAAAAAGAGAGAAAAACAATAAAAAATGAAAATATGGGTTAATTATAGTATTTTTATTTATATGAGATTTGAGATTCAACCCTGAAGTAAAAGTCAGATAGACCCACTATAAAGGAATTTTTTATTTTTTTAATTGAAAAAAATCATTTATTGTACTTTTTAATTTAGAACTGACTAGTTCAAAGTAAATTAAATAATTAAGAGCCCATCTAGGTTTGAAGGCAAAAATTAATATTGAGCTCCTCATCTTATAAAATTGGTAGGTTTTAGTTCCTTATCTTATAACATGAAAGTTTTAGTCCTTTATCTTATAAAGTTGATAAGTTTTAGCCCTTCACCTTACAAAATTGGTAGGTTTTAACCCCTTACCTTATATTATGATATTTTTAACCCATCACTGACACAAATTAAAAAAAATAATCCTCACTTAATATCAGGTTATAACGTTTTGTTAGTTTTATTAGTTGACTGTTAACATTCATTAGCATTCCGTTATAAAAAATATGAAATTTAAATTCAATTTTATTTGTTAGTTCCATTAACGAAATGTTAACGGATGCTAACAGTCAACTAACAGAACTAACAATCAGTTAAAAAAATTGATAGTCAGTTAATAAAACTAATAGAACATTATATTCTGATGTTAAATAAGGGTTTTTTTTTTTTAATTCGTATAGATAAGGGGCTAAAAGTGTCATAATATAAGGTAAGAGACTAAAATTTACCAATTTTATAAGGTGAGGGGTTAAAACCTACCAAGGGTTAAAACCTACCAACTTTGTAAGGTAAAAAGTTAAAAGTGTCATATTATAAGATTAAGGGCTAAAACCTATCAATTCTGTAAGGTGAGAGGCTCAAGTTGATTTTAGCCATAGGTTTGAACAGCTGACCTCTTGATTTTCCAGTCAAATGCTCTGCCACTTAGCATGCACTGCTCTTATTTTATTTCTTCTAAGGATCGAGAAAAATCAGAATATTTTGGTATTTAAAATGTTAA